TTCCAGCTCCCCACAAGCGTTAGTTCTCGAGAAAATTGAATTTTAACTTGGACCACATAACTAGGGAAAACTTATTCGATATTTCTCGAGAACTAAAGCTTGTAAAGAGCTGGAAATTTACGTTTTTACTACTACAGGTTTGTTGTATACAACTATTTATGGGGGAACGGCACAGCACCACTTTGGCAAATGCACGAAATTTTTCGTTTCCTTGGTTTCTAGCAGAGAAGAAATACGGCAACAGCGTATATAGATGCCCTATGTGAATTGTGTTTACGTGAGCAAGTTAGAATTTTTAACGAAAAATTTATGAACTGAGTTACGATTTTTCTTAATTTTTCGGGCAGTTGAATCTCTTTGGTTTTTGGCTTGATACTCTTGGTGGATCAGAGCTGGTGCTAAAACAAGATAGCCATCTAGTAGAGCTTGCTTTATTCTATCGAATAGTGTTTTGCAACCTACTTAGAAATGAGAAGTGTATGACTATTGCGGTTGAAATTCAAAACCTGCACTAATTTCCGGACAACCTAAAAGCCACTGCATGACGAAGGCGCAGAGGCGGAATTGGTTGTGCGGGCGCGAACGCGACGCGCGCGTATCCTCACCGTTGTAAATCTTGCGCCTCATGCGCTCTGTGGCTAATAAAGCCGCGTTTGCGCCCAAAGATATTGCGCCTTCGTCATGCAGCAACCTATAAAATGCCTTCATTGATAAATAACGCAGCCTTAGTTGCTAATATATCAATTTCAGACGAGATTAGGTCCTATTCGTACAAGGAAAGCGAGTCGAAATGGACACCGCATAAGGTAAAATTGTTTGCTGTTTGATTAGTATTTCATAGATTCATTGCAGCGCCAGTCGAAAAAAGTCGCGGACGACATGATCGACGATGGGGCAGTAACAGGAGACGACGACGATCTATTCATTGCTGATGAGTGAAGTTCCGTGATAGCGATATTTTTGACTTACATATGTTTATTGCATGTACATGATGCCATCCCGTTACATATGTATTTGATTGTACACTAATTGATCCACATTCTCATTTAGTGTCTTTAAAAGCTTTAATTACATAATTAATAAAGGTTTGTTGAAATTGTCCACTCATTTTTCTGCAGAAATAAAGTTTTAAAAGGTTTAGTCCGCTGGAAGTTTAGCCGTTCAAATTTGGCGCGCGGGTCAATGATTAAAACGAGGCTGCGAAAATGCTGACCATTCGCGTGCCAAAATAGCAGCCATCCGCGCGCAAGAAATCGCAGCCGCTCGCGCGCTTAAAATCGCAGCCATCCGCGGACGATCATGCAGCGGCGCGGGAGTCAATAGCGCGCCATCCGCAGACTGGGTGTCGCGCCACCGTGCAATTGCGCGCGCGCTGCACGCACCGAGTGTCTGAGTAGGTCCACTCCAATACAATCCATTTTATGCAGCGCATATAAAATACTGAACAATCTATCCATAACAGATGATCTCAACTATTATTTACTTGATTTTTTGGATATTCTAACACCGACTCGTATGAATGATTTGAAACTAATGTAATTCGGAAACTTTTTGGATATGAGTCAGCGTACTAGTAGTGCAGGAAACTGACATTAAGATAATCAGGAGGAAACATATAGTGAGTCACATACGTAAGAAGAAAAATATTAGGTTGGCACGAAAGTATGTTTGCACCATTTTCGAAAATTCGCAACTTATCGCTTTCTTATTGGACTGTTCGGTACTCAGACAGTTGGAGCGGGCAGCGCGCGCGCAGTCACACGGTGGCGCAACACCCAGTGCGCGGGTGGCGGGACATTGGATGCCGCGCCGCTGGTGTTGGCCCGCGGATGGCTGCATTTTTTTCAGTTTTCCATTGCGCTGTATACCACAGGTCTTGATAATGAATTCCACTCTTTATACGCCAAAAAATATGAATTCGTATTTGAATCCAAAAATTCAGGTCCAGCATCCATTTGCAGTGCTGCCGAAGGCTAACGCTTGAAAGCAAAAAACAACTTCCACTTCTGCGACTATTCATAAACTACGATGTAATATCCAACCTCTTAAGTGATGAGGCAGCCTGACCACTGCGTCGTACTCTGCGCGGGTATCCCTTGTGCTTACAGCATGTGATAATTGCAGGCGCGCGGGCCGCACGGGTAGAGTATAAAGGCACGCGCGCGGCGTGCTACAAAATTAGGCGCGCGGGTGGCGAGATTGAACATAAACGTAGCGCGCGGGTCGCGGTGTTGGCCATTAATACGCGCGCCGCACGCACCAAATGTCTAGGATGGCACGCGTTTGGCGTAGTGCCGGACACGCCCACAAATAAGGCACGCGCTTTGCCGCATTGACCATAAACGCGCGTGCGCCGCACGCTCCAACTATCTGAGTAGTGTAAGTTGCTCTTCAAAAAAATGCTTTGGCGGCTTTCCACTGCGCATACATTGTACAGATAGAAGCAGTGATATAAAATTACTCAAATCTTGGTTTCCTTTGGTCGTAAAAAATCGGAAACTTGCAATAAAAAACGGAGCAATCAATAATATATGGTGCATCCCCACAATTGTTCCCATATGAATCATCAACTTGCTGTCTTTCAATCATTTTAACATCTCAGCTTCGAGTAAGCTTCAAAAATGCTGGAGTAAACGTGTTGAAACGATCGAAAGGCATCCACGTTGATGGTTCATATGGGAACAACTCTGGGGGATGCACAATAGGTTTTATTGTCTGCACTTTCTAAATGAGCAAATTTTGGGCGGATTGACTGTCTCCGTGAAAAGGACGAAGCAATCAACAAAAACAGCATTTCATATTTTTCGGCAATTTTTAGAAGATCATAACTATTCACAGACACAATCAATCCGTTCGAAATTGGTCAATCAGAACAATAAAATCTACAGTATGGACTGCTCCGATTTTTGTTGCAAGTTTCAGATTTTTTACGACCAAACTCAATGAAATCAAAATTCGAGAATTTATTTTCCTATCACTTCTATCTGTACAATGTAGGCTCAGTAAAAAGTTGCCAAGATGCTGTTATGAACAGCATCTTGGCAACTTGCATTCTCAAACAACAATAAAAGCAGCAAATCGGACGAGAAAGCAAGAAGTTATGAATTTTTGAGAACTGTGCGAACAAACTTTCGTAAAACCTGATATTTTTCAACAATTTTCCACAGGTGACAACGAAAGGAGTCATGCAAAAATACTGTGATTTTTTTTTCGCTACCTAAACACTAATCAGTGATCGCAAAAACAATCAATTGGAGTAAGTTGTCAATGAGACACTACCCTAAAACACGCATGTAAGCAGTGGCTTCAGGATTACTGTGCAGTATTTTCCCATTCACTTTGTCAGAAAGTTTCGCAAGTATAGAATCTCCTGGAAACTTCCCAGCACGATGCCAAATACTGTAAGAAAATGAAAAGGAACCTGAAGTGCGAACGTCTCCGAAACCGATTAGGAATGGTGGAGTCTTGCCGCGTTATGGGGACAGAGAACGCACGAAATTTTCTATTAACACTGGGTTTCACCGTGTCTTTGACAGCTTATTCCGCTAATATGTCATGGGTGATACCATGGCCAGCTGGTTGAGAGCTCAGCCCACGCAAGCACACATCATGATAGGTATATTACATTTGCAGTAGCTCTAAATAAAGTGTGAAAAAAAAACAGCACTGCTAATAGTTCGTTCAAAAAACTTCTATTTGTAGGCTAAAAGACCGTAAGACATGGAAACACCAGCAACCTCTCCCAAAATACTCTATTCGATTACTGACAAATGTAATTTTTCGCAGAACGTCACGCTTCAATGCATTTGCAATTGATTTCCGAGTTGTCACTTAGTAGTGTGGATACCGAGAGAAAAATTTATAGCTCAGATAGGCGCCAGACTCAACCGGTCCAACTTAATCTTCCAGTTCTCCCAATCGCTATTGTTCAATTTGCTGGATTGGCCTAGCGAATGAGCTGAATCGGATGAGCCCTGTTGAAGCAGATAAGTGTGGCACTTGCCTCCTTCAGTATCGCACCAACATAGTAAGTTCATAAGCATAACGAAAATTCATGAGACACATTTGGGGAAGTACATTTTCGAATGCAGTTTTATAAATTCCTGCAGAATTTTTACCCCGCTATCAAGCAGTGTTATAGAATAAAGAGAATTAGTGGAAGCCGAAATGGACACTTTCAAAAAATGATCACGATGACATTTTTCCCCCACGCATTCAAACAAAACCCTATGCGGCGGTCTAAGATAGCCTCGCACTCTAGTGGAATTGCATACATGTTTTGGATTACTTAAGGTCTATCCTCATGTGATCATTTGCTTAATTATGATGATGTCAGAAAAGCGGAACGCGTAAAATTCCAACAACACATTTTCACAAATGAAACATTGCGCCTTTTCACTAGCACCTTTTTACAGATACGTTCACAAATAGCTTGAAACGTGAAAACCACAAACCTTCATGGGAGAATAATTCTAAGCACCATAGATTTAGGCAGTGTGTGGCATGCGAAGTGTGCAAATACATGAAAGTACATTTCACGATTATTTGAGAGAACGCCAATCATCGCTGTCGCAAAAAGCATTCACTGCCGAGCTCTCTGCACAACAGTTAATATAATACTATATTCGCATCGTGGAAGTAGGTCAGTCTATGTGCTTTTTCGGGAAAATTATGCACATGATAAGCGACGATGATGTTCAAACCACTGCTGTTATTATTCTTAAAAAGAAACTCAGACCAATAAAGTGCATTTTATAGCAGTAAGGATTGAGAGGAAGAAAGATATAAAATAAAGAAGGAAGACATTGATGGAAGGGATTAGATATGAGCTAGCACAGAATTTCTTGGAAAGTATTGGATTTCTTTTTCTTATTCCCGTAGTTAGAAATGCATGACTAGCTAGCACAATGAGAGAAAAAGAAAAAAGATGCTAGAAGTGATGAAATATAGCAGAGATTCACAGAATTGTGAGAAGGTTTTAAACAAGTTCGCATGCCTACCTGACTATACAATCCCAAGATTTGTCCCGAACTGCTTTGATCAACAAACTTTGATCCATTAAAGTCATTGCGTATTCCTTCTCAATCAGAAGTGCATCCAGGAGTGCTGGTTTGTAGCAGGTGATTAACGCTTGTAGATGACAGCTGTTTACGGGACAACCAGCTTCCCGCAAAGTTGTCACAATTTCGGTATCACCCGTCTCCATGGTTTTCAGCAGAAGCTCCCCGTTTGACCACACCTTCATTAGGCTATTAGGAGAGCAAACGGAAAAGATTACACACCTCGCTCATGAACATGTGATTATGAGTCAGAAAGCGTGATAGAGCCGCAAAGAGCAGAAGATCATCTTTTTTACATAAATGCAGCAACAAATCAGCAAAGTACGACTGTAGTCTGCAATAGTAACCCAGATTTATTATACCGAAAGCACGCCCTATCAGCAAACTTACCGCTGATTATTGATGAAATTTGAAGCGAATGTTAAGTACAGTTCATGAGGAAGTTCTCCATTCTGCCAGATCCTTATCAGGTCTTCTTTGATATGTATCAGGCTGGCTGCAAGAAAATCGTCTTAGCGCTCTTCTACATCTATGATAGACAATGACGAATCTCTGGCAATGAGACTGTGAGGCAAAGGTAAGAATGATAGCACTGGAAAGCAATCATTGTGACAGATCATAACTGCCGAACATTTCTGTACCATAAGATAAAATCATAAAAAGACAAAAATGAGGCTGAAGACTTTGCGTTCACCGTATATTGCAGAAAGCACCTAGAAGACATCACAACCATCAATGAAAGGTTGAACTCACTTTCTGTACTTTCCTCATCGATCTCGAAAGAGAAATCGCAACGGGAGTCAGCAATCACCTCATTTCTTGCCTGTATGCGGCACTGAAATTAATGTGAAATTGGCATTTTAGAAGTTACATACAAAAGTGTTGACGAGTGAATGTACAGAATGCGTCTTTTCAATATGTGGTACTAAGCCAAACCGAGTGGTTGCAGTGGGAACAGCAGAGAAATAGCACTCCAGAGTTGCGGAGAGCACAGCGCAGGTGCGTCGAATGGTTGGGATTCTTGCTGCAAGTCACTAGCCATCCCTGCATAGCAAAAAAATATTGAAAAATTGAGTAAGCAGCGTTCGATACGCTTACCACATTGGAGAAACATTTACAAAATAAACACATGGCATGCCTTGCGAATAGATCTTGATGTTGCGGACAGAGCGATTGGTGCAACTCCCCTTCGGAACTTTCAAATGATGTATAAACTTCGTTCCAGCATCTAATTATAGCTGCACCACGAACGGTTCGGGCAGAGCATAGTGTGTCTAAATAGCAAGGATAGCACTGACATATCTGTGAGTAAAGATAGGAATCTGACTGTATATAGGGCACTGCCAGATTATGAGGGTCATACCGGTTGCGATTATTGCTCTTGCTGCGACACCATTTCATCAAATTTCGTTTCCTTTTAAAAGCTTCCCACGTCAGGTGCTAGCTTTTCTATATTATCACTTCGAAAACTAATAGTGCTCACTTGTTCAAGCAGTTAAAGGCAGCGTCCAGGCAGATCTGGACCTGTGGGGCTTTTACGTGAAAAGTACTTTTGGGGCCCTAACTAAGGCACTGCCCAAGAGGCAGTTCAGGTAGTGCTCTAATGGCTGAGATATTCCCCTCGAAATTGGCCCCCGCGAACGTATTCGCATGGATTCATGGCAGTTTCGCGCCAGGATCCACGCTTTGCGCCATGAATCCATGCGAAACACGGTGGCGGGGTCTAGTTTCGAGGGGAATATCTCAGCCATTACAGCACTACCTGAGCTGCCGCTTGGGCAGTGCCTTAGTTAGGGCCCCAAAAGTACTTTCCACGTAAAAGCTCCATAGGTCCAGATCTGCCTGGAGGCTGCCTTTAAAGCCTTGGCGACATCTTGACTTGACTCTTGACTTGAGCGCCGACCGCAATAGATACGACTGTCACGATCTGATAGAGCTCTGTATGGTCTGTTTCCCAGATATGTTCCCTTAGGCCCTGGGCAGATTTCACGCGATTTGATCGTCGCGACTGAATCGCGACGAGACAACTGTTACAACATCATTCCATGCCGATCAACTTGCATTCGGTTGTGATACTTTTCCAGCCCGAAATTTTTGAATGTGAAACGAAAATGAATGGAAATCTCGGCGATTAGATCGCGACGATTGAGTCGCTTGAAGTCTGTCCGGGGCCTTAGGCACGCGCCATACTTGATCCGCTTGAGGTACTTGATCCGCTTAATCCGCTTCATCATTGGTCGATTCAGTGAACTAACCAGTAGTGAAGCGGATCAAGCGGATCAAGAGGATCAAGCGGATCAAATCAAGTATGGCGCCTGCCTTAGGTACAGGCGATTCATAGCACGCAAAAGCTGCGGACTTATCGGCGTCTCTCTGATCGAGCGCTCTTTTGTTTCTCTTACAATATGCTGTCTCTCCCATGCACGAACTATCTTACCGGGCGCAACGACGTCCAGTCTTTGTGTGAATAAATAGTGTATACCATCAACGTGGCTGCCTTTTGATCATTTTAACATGTTAACTTCGAATAAGCGGCCTAAATTTGCTGAATTATCGTGTTGAAACGATCCGAAGGCAGCCACGCTGATGGTTTACCACTGGCGGTCCCAGGAACCTTGTCCGGTGGGGGGGGGGGGGGCAAAATTTTTTTCAAATGAAGGTGCATGGCGCTAGCCACGCACTCCGAAAGAATTTTTGAAGTGCTTCTCAAAGTTTTTGCGGGCCCATACCCCCAAAATCTAGAAAAGAGAGCGTGGCGGCACGAAAAAATTTTTTGGTTGTACTTCTGAAAAATTTTGAAAATTATTTCAATTATATACGAGCAAACAAGTAGTTAATTTTCAAAATTTCTCGACCGATTCTCAGGAAGAGGGAGGAGCGTCTCGGTCCGCCACTGGTATGTATGTACCTATGGGAACATTTCCACTGGTATGTATGTACCTATGGGAACATTTCCGGGAAACAAATCCTATATGCGCGAAGCACAGAATATAATGTCGTTGCGTCGCAACAGATCTAACCTAGTGGCAAACTCTTCACAAGGGCAATTTTGCTGTCGTCACAAGCACAATCGAAGCAATCCGAACATTCAGAGGCCATCAATTGTTCCTCTGTTCACACTATAATTCTGCCAGAATGTGCTATTGGCTCCGAGCAACGGCCGCAGTCTAGCCTTTTCCATGCGAGAAAGCGTTCTGCAAAAAATTTGCAAACAAACTTGAATTACGGGACTTGTACACAAACAGTCCTATCGTTAGCGAGTTTCACTGCTTAAAGGCAGCGTACACCCAAAAGGTAAGGTACCAGTTCTCTATACCGTGTATATAGAGGGCCCAGAAGAAGACCAACTGCGTTGATCCGGTCTCCCAATGTTGTTTCCGAGTGGAGAAAACCAACCTGATTTTTCTTTCACTTCGCCCCTTTTCTTCCACTCCGCCTCCTTCGGACGAAACCACGACAGGCAGTTGCAGTGGTTGTTGCAACTGACTGCAGTTGCAACAGTGCAGTTGCTTTTTGCGGTCTGCCTCATTCGGACGACGAATTCACGACAGCATACGCTGCAGTTGCAGTTGCAATTACAGGCTGTCATGCAGTTGCAGCTAACTCCTCGCTGGCATGCCGACGGGGTCGTGCAGTTCGAAACTCGCCGCCCTCTAAAGAGAGGGTCCCCGGGAATCGGGGTTTTTTAGGGGGTTTGGGGAGTTTTAATGTCATAACTGTAATCGGGGGCACGGAAAGGTCCCAGAATGACAAAAACATCAAAAGTGAAATTTTGAGTGTACGCTGCCTTTAAAACTACGTGACATGCTTACAACTACTAGCAGGTCATGGTAAGCAGAGAAACCGTGTCTATCTGAGGTACTCTGACATTCGGTGCGTGCGGCGCGCGCGCTCCCCGTGCGGCGCTTTGTAGTGCGCGCGGGCCGAACGACGAATGCGCGCGGGCTGAACGGTGAATGCGCGCCGGCCGCACGGTATCGAAAACGCCCCGTACGCAGGCTTCTAGAGAATAAGTCTTTCATAAAGCTTTTTTTCTTCTTTCGTCGTGCCGTGAGCATTCCCAACTTCACAGTCCAAAAATAATTCCGAATTTCGAAAATTCGAATACTTGAGTATGAATTCATAGAATTCAAAATTTAGTTTTAGCACCCGCTTGGGCAGCTGTCGAGGGATAACCTTCGTAGAAGCCGAGAACCTCTCATTTTCCTGCGATTACTCAAACCAAGAAATGATAAGACCGCCTTACGAGCGATGGAGCAGCCTAATCACAGCGTCGTACCTCACGCGGGTACCTATTACGCTTATAGCGTGTGAGAATTGGAGGCACGCGGGTGGCACGGTGAGAATATAGTGCGCGCGGGCCGCACGGTACGTGACCCCGCCCGTAAATCTAGGCGCGCGGGCCGCACGCACCGAATGTCAGAGTAGTACACGTTTGAAAGAGAGAGCAGACAGTAAGTAAGATGAAAAAGCACTTGATCAGGGAGACGCCGACGCCGCAACTGCAGCAACTACTCGCCTATGGCCTGCACCATACTTGAACCGCTTGCTTCATGCACTTCGCTATTGGTCAAATCAGTGAACTAACCAATAGCGAAGTGGATCAAATGGACGGAGTGAATCGAGCGGATCAAGTATAGCGCGTGCTTTAGAGGAAAGATCTTGCTGCAGCGTCAAGTTGAGACTGGTCCTTTTACGTGAAAGCGTGTCCGATGATAAGGTGGTGTGGACATGCTGCCTCACTTGAAGTGTTTCGCCTACTCCAGGTAGAAAAAGACTGTACAATGGGAATTTGTACTGGGTCAAGCGTTTTATCTCACGGCGAGTGCTCCGCCAGTGATGTCCAGCCCATGCGGTCAAGGAATCAACCATACTTGAACTTCAAGCAAATTGAAAAAATCAATCGGATGAGCTAAGATATAATTTGGGCAAAACTTCCAAAGGACTTGAATAAGGAGATCGCGCTTTTTTGAAAAGTGGCGTCAACCGGCGTAGTGCTATTACGACGAATGTCACGGTTGACGAGCAGTATTGTCTGCAAGAGCCTATTGATCTCATTAGCTTACGAGTTGCACATTTTGCAGCTTGAGTGATCCGCTGATGCTATAAATAAGCCCGAGTTCTAGTCAATACTTCGATTCTGAATTCTGCTTGAGCAGTTTTTCTGAATACAATTTCTTTACTGAGTTCAATCAAACGAACACAGCGCTTTGTTTCGCTTTGTTTTGTAGCTACAATCTTTCTTCATTGGCCTTACAAATGCAATTGCATGCACAAACATAGTACTACTCTTTGTTGGTCTTCACTTTGTATCGTAACTTATCACTTGCATATTTAGGTTTATGCGGTGGTTGCCATTGATCCTTACGGCAACTGTCGGATTATGTTGGGGTGCCGGTCCGCTAACCGTGGTTATTGATCTCAACGAAAAATTTCTTGATGTTAGCAATGAGGGAATGTGGATAGTGAAGGTAAACACTTTCAGCTGGAATTCACCGTGATATGGTCACAAGTTTTTACCTTTTCAGATTGATAGAAAAGCTTTGCACTTTTATTTTAGTTCTACGCACCATGGTGTGCCCACTGCAAGCGTTTACTTCCCGTTTGGGAACATCTAGGATATGCTGTCAACGACAAAAATCTACCAGTACGGGTCGCAAAGATGGATTGCACTAGATTCACATCTGCATGCAATAAATTATCTATTTCTGGATATCCTACAGTGATATTGTGAGTTGAGATATGCATTTTTGATCTTATTTGTGCTCGTTTCCAAAGATGATATCTTCTTTCCAAACTTTGACACGTAAATCTACACCTGCTGATTATAGTTTCCGACAAGGTCGACGAATAGAATACCACGGAGAGCGTACCAAAGAAGCTCTCTTCAACTTTGTAGTGAAAAGCTCTGCTCCTATCGTGGAGAAAGTGAATGCTGTGAGGCTTAATGACGTAAGGTTAAAACATCTGATCAAGTTCTGAATGCTTGCTTCAAATATATGACTTTCCTGCAGATAAGGAGAGACTCTCGCAACGACCCCGCTTTTCTTATTATCGGTGATGAGGAGGACGACATGCGGGAAGAGTTCGACGCTATCGCTGACGAATTGTTCTCTAAGGTACATATGCTTACTAACTAAGTTTGGTATTGTATCCCCTGTATATGTAGTTTGAAAGTTTATTTGCTTATTCTCAAAAAAAATATATATATAATAATATAGCTCTAATAGTGCAGTCTTACTGATTTATGGCCATACTTTTCCATGACCCAGTAAGCTGACCTCAGTTCGCGTAGCAAGTCTCCCTCAAATAGCACGCTATTAAAAGGCGATTTGATGTTTATATATATCTGGTTTTTAGTAGGAAAGTATGCTTTAGAATTTTGCAAGCCTTCCGGGCTCGCTTCCAATCACTATTTTTGAGCCACTTGCCTGTAATTTCGCTCAGAAAGTCGTTCATCAGTTACAGAAATACACGAAATTAGGTTTGGATAAATGTCATGTGAAGTCTTTATTATTTTTATGAAGCGTCACCGCGAGCTTTAGTCAAATTCCTTGTAATTTTTTTTTCGTATTGACGTCCTTCACTTCCAGACAAGATTTTTCTCGGCTAGTCCTGTTGCTGTACCAACGTCCTTACGCGAATCTGGAGCGCGCGTTGCAGTGTTCAAAGATGACGCCTTCTTTCCATATCATGGAACTGCAGGCGAGTATATATGTTCTTTCTGATCGAATATGTGCTTTTTATTCTCATTTTCGCTTCAGAAGGGCTGAAGCGATGGGTTATGGCAGAGCGGTGGTCATTGATGCCCCGCGCTACACCCACTAATATCGCTGAAATCGGAAGTAATGGGAAGCTGACTGTACTTGTTGTATGCACTGAGGTAGCGCTTCTTGTTGTTACTGCCCTGTTCTCTTTACCTCCTCTATTTTAGTTAGACAGACTTAACCAGTCATCCCCCATAGGAATGTTTTGCGAAATGGTGGGTTCATAAGCTTACGCAAACCTTTTACATGTTGTTCGAACTCTTGTAGGCCAGAGGAGCTGCTGAAGATTTGAGAAAGAACGAATACTTGTATTCGCGTTATCAGTTCGCGTGGTTAGATGGGCCCGAAGTTGCTACCAACATCGTAATGGGAAACATGGAGCCTCCAAGTAAGTTCAGAGCCGTTTCTCGTTACTCACATGCTTGATTGCTAAGAAGCCAAATTTCTTTGTCATATTGTCAGTGTTCATTCAAAAACTGCAAACCCTCATTTTCCTGCATCACAATATTGTAAGTAATTAAGTGACAATATTTAGATATAATGGTGTTCAACTATTCTACTTATGAGTTTTACCTAAGCGATGATGAACCTCAGAAAATGACGAGAGCATCTATAGTCACTTGGCTCAATCAATTAGCTGATGCCATCGAGAAAAACACAGCGGTTGCTCAAGGAGGTTGGAACATTTCAGTTTTCTTCATTTTTCACTGAGGATTAATTTAGGTCGCTCCTGGCCAGTAAGAATAAAGCGAATGTTTTATGAACTTTACTCGAATGTTGCACAAATGTTTGCTACGCAACCGCTTTTGTCGTCTTGCCTCTTTGGTGTGCCAATAGCTTTTCTCAGCATCATCTGTTACAGGTAAGCTTTTTTAATGCTTGGACAAATATTTTGCTCCCACGTACGAATGTAGTTATCGTTGGCAATGATTACTATGTATCTTGGTCAAGTTTTAGAAGTTGTAAAGGCTAAAAACTTGCTAAAAATGTATATATGAAAGAATATGTTTGTATAAGTTGATCAAGTGTCATTTGGACTTGCAGTGCTTGTGTCTATGCGAATCATACCTATCCACACCCTTAATTGTTTTTACTATCAATGTTATCATTCTTTTAGTATCTGCTCCGCTGACTTCACAGTAGATCGCGAAGAGTTTTATCCTGAAGACGAAGATGAGGATTACGATGAAGCAGTAGAAGAAGACGAACGAGCACAGCTAGTTGATCCAAGCCATGCAAAGAACGAATAGTATTCTCAATCTATCTCCAAGTACTAGTCAAGTAGCCCAAGTTTGCTCAGTATCTAGGTCTTGTCAATCCATTCTTTGGTTGTACATAGTAACTTCTTTTTTTGCTGTTTTGGCGTTCATCGTTATTGATCTCGTTTGTATAATTTTCAAAATTTGTTCAGCGTAACACTGGATTTACTGATCATTTTTGTAATCAAATATAAATTTCTTTTATTCCAAACAGTAGTCCAGGCTAGTTGCATACGGAAGTATTTGCCCATGAAGCTAGCTCAATGATGAAGGATTTACGACCGATGCTACACCGCACAACTTGTCAAAAGCTATTGGTATGCAGAAACGCTTGGCCGCGCAGCGCGCGCCCACAATTATCCAGTGTGTACGCGTTATGCTGCGCTGCTTCATACTGACCCCGAAATTCGGGAACAGTATGAGAACAGCCTTAAAGGCACCGTCCACCCAATTTTCGACTTCCACGTTCTTGTCGCAGGCCTTCTCATGTCCCTGATTCCGAATATGAAGTCGAGAATGCGCGAAAACCCCGACAATCCCCGTTCTCGAGAACCTATAGGCCGGCTTTCCGGAACGCTGATTGGATGGGCGCGCACGAATGGGCGGGCATGGATGGGGGCTACTCGTGCATCTTCGCTACTCCGAAGCGATTTTCTCGCTTCCGAAGCGGCACGGGGACTGCCTCATGCTCTGCACCTACAACGCCAGGACAGTCTCCACAAACGCCGACCTCCACGCTCTTCTCGACGCTGCAGAGCACATTAAGTAACCACATCATGCTCTGCAGGAAACGAAGTCCAGGAAGAAGGACGTGCGACAGATGAATGATGGGACGCTCATCATTGGTGGTGAGAAGGTTCCATCACGAAACGTAGGAGGCGTTGGCTTTGTCGTCCACCCATCTATCGTCCATCTTGTCGATTCCACGAGATCCTATCACCCCGACTAGCCATCCTACGACTACGCCCTCCACGTCAGAAGACCATCAGCATCGTCAACGCTACTCTCCAGCATCAGCAGCTGACGACTCAGAACTAGATGCTTTCTACGAAGACGTGGAGGAGGTCGTCCGCAACGAAAAGTCCTTCTACAGGTATGTTGTGGGCGACTTCAATGCGAAAATCGGGATGCCACTAGAAAAGGAATATAGGATCGGGAAGTTTGGATATGGGCTTCGGAACGAAAACGGCAACCGTCTCGCTGGACTTCTCTCCGCCGCACGACTCTTCCATGGCAATTCCATCTTCATGAAGAAAGAACATCGCCGGTGGACATGGGAATCACCCAACGGAACGACTCACGCGGAGATCGACCACATTCTCACCAACCGAAGGTGGAGCTTACTCGATGTCTCTGTAGTTCCATCCTTCTGTAGTGGCTCCGATCACCGCCTCCTTCGAGCGAAGATACGACTTAGTCGAAGGCTGGAAAAGAAAGTCTGTCATAGTGCCACGAGAAGGAAGGAAGTCGTTTATGACGGCAACAGGCTGGAAGAGCTCATATCAAGTTGTGACTGGCCCATCGAGGAGGACCCAACGTACGACTACGACCGGCTTCTGAAAGGATTGCGAGCCTGCGGAGAATGCGCCTCAGTGACTTCCGAGAAGGACTTGGAACGTATTTCGAACACCACCCAGGGCCCAGCACGAGGTGGGCAAACGGGGTTTTCCAAAACGAATTCCCCTTTGATCCCAATAAATTTTACGAATACCTCCTTGAGCCCAAAAATGACGTTTTGTGCTTGTGCGACGAGATTACCGGCCACACTTCGCCTAAAAGCGCTCAAAAGCGCCCAAATTGCTCAAATTCCTCAAATTACTCCTCAGCTGGATCAAGATAGAAAACAGGAAGAAAAATAAGCAAGAAAATGATTAAGGAATGAGAAAATATCAAAGAAACGCAGTCATAGGAATGAGAGACGCCGCTCCCGCGCGTATCGATTGACTGGAGCGCGCTTTCCATCTTAAAAAGCTAGGCTGCTGATGCGATTTTGGGCTCTAACAAGGTCAAGAGGAGGAGTTTCGGAACCAAAATTTCACCGTGTAGTAAACTTTAGGTGTACAACAGATTTATGTAAAAATTTTGAAAAAATTATGTGAACTGAGAGTTTTGCCGACCTCAGGTGGGAATTAGGTCGGCAAATGCCGACCTAATTTGGAAATTAGTTAAGGAAACTTTTCATTCACATAAGTTTTTCATAATATTTCATACTTAGTTACTTAGTCCTACTGCGCATACACACACCGAATCCCGCGCGATTTTGTTACCTCTGCGTTGCAAACGAGCCATTTTTCCATTTCTTTGGTAGCGCAAAATTTTCAGAAAAAAGTTTGCCACAGCCTTCAGTCACATAATTTTTCAATGAAACTCCTCAGTTAAGCCCTGCAAGTCCGTGTGCATGTACTTACCAAGTTTCATGCCATATCGTTCATCTGCGCGTTCCAAACGAGCCGTTTGAATTCACATCTTCATTTACCAGTTTTGCGAAATTCTCGGAAAAAATGCTAATTACTCGTTCTGTTCACATAAGTTTTTCATAAATTTTCATACTATGTTTCCACTAGCCTCTCTCCGTTCGCGTACAAAATTTGGTGCCATATCTTTACACATACATTGAGAACTAGTCATGCATGCTGTTACAAATAGCATCGCTTGGGCGACGTCGCGCGTGCGGCAATTAGCGACGGCGCGGTTTGACGCGCGCGAACTCCAGTGTTCGCCTGTTGAGGCACATAACATGTCAAGATAAGTAGCGAGCATGAACTACCAATTTTTTCCGGGGCTCCGCCCCGGACCCCGCAAAAACGATTTCCCCTTTGCTTTCTAACCCGATTTCCAGCTTGTCATTTGCCGACCTCGTGCCGGGCCCTGACACCACCAAGGAATTGATCGAAAGAAGAAGATTTCTGAGGCAGGATCCGAATGCAACCCATCTCGAGCGACTGATAGCCAACGCCAGTTGCAGAACAGCTATGCAGGATGATCTCAGGAAGTACAAGCAAGCCAAGATACTGGAAGCAGCCGAAGGAAGACGAAGTCTTAAGAAGTGCAGAAGGAACCTGAATATCACGTACCGCTGGCTGCACTATTGAACGAAGACGGGTCTCCGACTTCTTCCCGATACAAGATGGAATCTATCGCGAAGAATTTCCATACCAACCTCTTCCGCTCATCAACACCCGTGCCGACGCCCGTTGTTCCCACTGGAGAAGTATCACCACGAATTCTACCTGCTGAAGTGCGCACGGCGATTCAGACCATGAAGACATCCACGGCTCCAGGACCAGACCAGCTTTCCGTCGAATTTCTGCGAGCCGGAGGACAACGTCTATACGAGCTTCTCGCGTCGCACCTGACATCTTACCTTCAGAAGAAAAGGATTCCCGACCAGTGGAGAGCTTCAAGAACCGTCCTTCTTTCTGAGAAGGGTGAACGGGAAGATTTTCGAAATTACCGTCCAATATGCCTGCTGAGTGTGCTGTACAAGCTCTTCACGAAGATTATCCTCGCACGCATATCTAGGACACTGGATGAAGGCCAACCCCAAGAACAAGCTGGATTTCGCAAAGGATTCAGCTGCACGGACCACATCCAGACGGTTTCGAGGGTCATAGAAGTCTGCCGGGAGTACCGACTGCCTCTCGTCCTAACCTTCGTCGACTACGAGAAGTTCTTTGACAGCGTCGAAAACAACGCCATCCTGTCTGCGCTAGTGATCAAGGAGTGGACACAGCTTACGTGAGGACACTAGCCGACTGCTACAAGGACTGTACAACAACGATGCAGCTGTTCCATCGCCCCCTAACCATTCCAATTGGGAAGGGGGTTCGACAAGGCGACACTATTTCGCCGAGGCTGTTCACCGCTGCCTTGCAGTGGGTGATGAGGTCACTAGACTGGGAAGAGAGAGGCATACGAGTTAATGGGAGATTCCTATCCAACCTTCGTTTTGCGGATGACATCGTCCTTTTCTCGAGCAGTATCACTGAAGCAGAGGTGATGCTGAAGGAACTAAACGAAATAGGGAAGAAGATCGGATTGCGAATAAATCGGAAGAAGGCTCAGTTCATAAAGAACGCCCTTTGCGAAGATGCAGAAATGGAATTGGAAGGCACCCCTATCATGGAGACGTCTTCTTACGTGTATCTCGGACGTTCGATGAACATGGAGAACGACTTGAGAGAAGAACTCAATAGGAGAAGAAGAGCAGCCTGGGCCGCCTTCGGGCCTCTGAAGGAAGCCACCGACCAACAGACGGACCCCGAGCTTCGTGCCCACCTGTTCGACTCAACCGTTCTCCCAGCGCTCTGCTACGCAGCTGAGACTTGGGCCGACACCGTAGTTACGTCGAAAGCTTTGAGGACCACCCACAGAGCGTTCGAGCGCAGTCTTCTGAAGATGACCCGACACAAGCAACATCTAGTCGGACTTCGCAGCACGATATGAGAAGAATGTCCCATCTTCGTGACCCAGCGGAATACGTTGCGAAAGCGAAACACCGATGGGCCGGTCACATAATGAGAAGAACGGACGATAGATGGACACTAAGAACATCTGAGTGGATTCTTCGCGAAGCCAAACGTCCTCGAGGAAGACCACCGACGAGATGGGCAGACGTGTTCGTGGAACGGATGGGCCAGCTGAGAAATCAGCTGGATACGATTCTCGCCTCTGGAATTCGTGGACGCAGCCACCGACGACGACCAAGAAGATCGTGGATGTCCGAAGCGAGGGACAGGGCAATGGCAACTTCTGTACTGGGGGCCGCACGTCACGTGAGGACGGGCCATCTAAGTATCTAAGTAAGTAAGAAGCGGCGTTTTGCGCCGCGACTTGGGCATTTGATTGATAGGGGGCCGTACTATTACATGCTGCCAAAAGCTCAACACCCTCAACTTAGGGTGGACGGTGCCTTTAACGACGCGAGGGTATGTACATGTACACGATTAAAGAATCCTGTTTTGGCCAAATCAAGTGCTTGGAAGTTGCAAACATGAGGTTCAAAAAGATTAGAAGGAAAAGGAAAGGAAAATGAGTCCGGAGAATGCCGACTAGGATAAGTCAGATCTGGAAAAATTCCTATATCCTAAATTATGTCCCAATTTTTTGTGTAAAATGACCAAAAAATAAGTAGTTTCAGTACGGGACTCCTATCAGAAAGGATGGTTGGTCGAAGTGGCCTTTTGAGATGGGTTGTATACCCTTTTGGAGGGCATAGAACGCT